TTTTGGATGAATTTATTGAATAAAGATTTATATGTGGCAACTAAGTATAAAGGTTGCAACTATTGGGATACTTTAAGAATGCCATAGTTGATATTTTGTTATTGCTTTCTTGGCAAAAAAAAAAAAAAATGGGAATAATATAATATATTTGAAATATTTTGAGGTTGTTTGATTCGTTGTAAAGTTAATGGGCAACTTGATTTTATTTTCTTTGGTTTGAAGCTGAATTAAGAGAATGTTGTTCAATATAAAGATTAATGGGTTGGTTACCGATGCGAATGAAATATGTGATGAATATCTCGCTATTTTACACTTATTTTGCATATTTCATTATGTTATTATGTGTAAGGAAGGCATTTCTGTTTGTTTAGGGCATGTTATGAGTTTGGGGCTGCTTAGGAATGAAAAGGGACAAATTGGAGCGAATAATTTGAATGAGTGAGCCAGCGTACCCACACCGCCTTCACGAAGTGCCCCTGTCATACAAACACTCTCGTGTTAACTACCAGCGCACCAGCACAATCGAAGGATCGTTTCCTATGGTCTGACCTACTACTAGAGAAAGAAGGTCATTTCTGAGGCCAAATTCTACTATTGGGTTTTGTAGTATAAGGACTAGATTCTTAGGAAATGTGTGACATCTGAAGTAGTCAACGGTATTATTAGGTATTGTCATGATTCAGAATTTGGAGAGCATTTTAGAGGACTTAGAACTACATCTATGGTATTACAATCTGAAATTTATTAACCTACTCTTTTTAAGGATGTGAATGAATATGAGAAAGATTGTGATTGATGTCAACCGACCGATCTTCAGTCTCAATTCGACAGGGTTGCATCCGATCAATTAAGCGAGTCATTTGGTCTCGTGCCAATCGGCCCTCTTTAGTTGCACTTTCCTCTCTCCTAGTCTATTGGATCTCCTACCGATTCATGCTAGTGCATTCCTAATGTACATGTATCAGATAATTGTTAAAACTAATGATCTACCGACTCTCATGAATATGAAAATACGATCACATCTTGGTCAAAAAATAACATAAAAATGAATCATAAAAACATCATAGTAAAAAAATTACTTTCATTGAAGGGGAGAGACGATTGAAGGTAATTATGGAAGAAATAACAATAACAATTTTATTTTATTTTAAATAATTTTCTTTTATAATGCTCGTGTTATTTCTTGTCGTTCATATATTTATATAATTTCAAGTTTTTTATCGACAGTGTAAATGCATTAAATTTGGATCATAAGTCCCACAAAATGAGACCACTTCCACTCGTCTTGCCAATAAAACAAAGAAGAAATCCAAGTAATTGAGTGCATTGCAAGGGGCGAATATGTTAGATCTGCTAATAAAACAAAGTATAAATTCCCCACAAAGAGCAGCCGCACAGACTCTTCATCCCCCTTCTCCTCCTCCTCTGCTCTTCTCTTCTCTCCCACACCATCAACACCAAGCCAAATCCAATGAAGCCTCACCAACAAGAACAATCAACCAACCAAAACAACCATTACCAACTCCTCCAATCCCCCAAACTCTTCCTCAACTCTATCTCCTTTCTCCCCAAGATCCTCACTTTCTTCCTCGTCTTCGGCTTCGGCCTCACCTTCGGCATCATCTCCACCTCCTACCTCAATTCCTTCCCTTTCCCCTTCCCCTTCCAACCCTCCCAACTCCAATCCCCCACCCTTCCCCCTCATAACCAGTCACCACCACCACTCTCACCTCCGCCTCCCCCTCCGCCTCCGCCTCCGCCGCCGAGAGCTCGAACCGGTCTCAAAGGATACATCGAGCCAAATGAAATCAAACATGACATGACAGACGAGGAGCTGCTATGGAGAGCTTCCATGGCACCGAAAACAAGTTCTTTTCCTTATAAACGAGTCCCCAAGATTGCATTTTTGTTCTTGACGAGGGGACCCCTCCCCTTCGTTCCGCTGTGGGAGAAGTTCTTTGAGGGGCACCATGGCTTCTATTCAGTCTACGTTCATGCCGATCCCTCCTACAACCACTCCTTCCCGGTCGGGTCAGCCTTCCATGGCCGCCGAATTCCGAGCAAGGTTAGTCTTTTTATAATTCTTGCTTTCTCATGATCAAAGCAGCTCTTCTTCTTATTCAACAGTTTATGATAATATCTACTCCAAAAATTATTTCATACGGATGCATGCGGTGTCCGATCTTCATCATAGATCACTGCGAAAATATATTTCGATGGGTCTCACTTTTAACTTTTTTTTTTTTTTAATGATCACGATGATCGATGGTGAAGATCGGACATCTCATACATCACTGCATGCGGTGTCTCACTATTTATTCAATATGAAAGAGATACAATTAATTAGGAGTTAATGAAGGCCGGTGGCTTAATAATTCTTTTTGATGGCGATGACATTTTTGTTTAAGTATATGTCGCTCAAATTTTTTATATTTACTAACTTCTAAATGTTAAATATATGTATTTTTTATGCATAAAATTTAACACCAAATTGTCATAAACGTAATTATAAAATTTTAGGTGTTGCATATGTAAATATATAAGATTTATGTCATATTTATGTAAATTTTTCTTCAATGCTGGTCGATTAGAAAAGCAAGGTGCTAATTCCGGCTGGTTTTGAAGAGTCCAATTTGGCTGCAATTGGACCTAGTCTTTCTTTGGCTGCTGCTGGGGTAGGAGTTAAGAAGGGGAAGTACGCTGGAAAAGTAATTGTCAATAATGTTGTATTTTTATTTTAATATCATTTTAAAAGTAAAAATGTAGCATGTCGCAATTTTAATTGAAAAACTTAAATATTTTAATTTAACACTTAACCATCACTTTACATATGTAATGCTTTTAAAAGTAAGTTTAAATTTAAATATACTAAAGTTTAAAGTAATTATTATTATTGATATACAACCAATAAATTTTCATCATTCGACATGAATTTTGAGATGTGACGTGAATATTGAAATAAGTTTTTAGAAATGAATGTTTAGATTCACGGTAAAGATCATCCAGAACTCTGAATTCAGGAAACTTACAGTCATACTAACCGGCTCGATGAGGCGCACTGAATGACATTGGAATTGATCTGATCAAAGTCAGAATAAACCCGAATCAATTCGTTAAATTATTTTTGGAAACTTTGGGTAAATAATTGAATAGTCAAACAGATTTCAAATATGAGAACCTTTATAGTCAAATCGAGTGTCTCCATAATACGAATCCAATGACTATGAATAGAGGACTACCATATTCTTATCAAGAGTCCACAAAATGAATGCAACGATGCACCTTGTATACAGTGCAAAGATGTGTCTCCTATATGATGCATTGATGCCTCTTGAAAATGGTGCAACAATGCACTCTAAAATAACAGCTTACAACGTCGTTATCAATAGACAGTGACTTTCTCTATAATTTTGAAGCTCTCTCCTCACAGCTCACTGTTATAGACTACGTGGTCTACAGACATTATCACAACTCATGTAACTCCCTACTATAGCCTTTACGACTTATGAACGTCTTCGCAACTCATACAACTCCCAAATTTGGTCGTTGTAGCCTGTGGACATTATCACAGCTCTTGCAGATCTAAACTCTTACATCTGCTGCTTATAGATATTATCACAACTCATACAGCTCACAGTTCTAGCCTTTGCAGCCTACGAATGTTATCTACTTATGCAACTCCCAACTTCGACTACTACAGCCTACGAAAGTTATCACAATTCATGCAACTCCCAACTCCAACTTCTGCAGTCCATAGATATTATCACAACATATGCAGCTTAAAACAGAGTTTTTTTGCGCCTACAAATGTTATCATAGTTCATCTAGAAGTTTTAATTTAAAATAAATTAATTTATTTTTTTATAACATTCATGTACATCGGGAATGCGCAAGCACAAATCTTGAGAAGATCCAACTGTTTAGAAGGCAAAAAAATTAGCAATAAGGGGGCTCACCAGCAGAAGACCAAAATACCTTCGTATTTAATCGGACATAGCGGTCTGAACCAAGACAAAAACTAAAGCCAGTCGGATCCTCTCCTAT